CCCCCCCCAAATCAAAAAAATAATTCCAGTGACCTTGACCTAGGAAGCAAGAAATTAATTCCAGGTCAATTAATATCTGGCGCCTTGCTAGGGGTACCCCTCTGAGTATTCACCCAACTTCTAGAAATTAATCCAAAAAAAATAATAAAGATCTCAGTAGGAGACCTTGATTAATTTCCTAAGGCTGGGTAGATGATGTATCATAAGGCGGTTCATTGCTCCGTTCGTAGCGATGCCCTTTGCTTCTAGTAGCGTCTGGTTCCTAGTAGTAAGGCCAGGAGCCCCGATCGTAGCGTCCTTGCTCCGTTCGTAGCGATGCCCTTTGTTCCTAGTAGCTTCTTGTTACTACTAGTAAGGCATTTGTTACTAGAAGCGATGCACTTGTTCCTAGTAGCGCCCTCTTTTTGTCAAATGTGACGGTTTGGAATGCACTTTGGCATCGTTCTTTCGTGTGTTTCATGGTCCTTGAATCGACAATGGCGCAATGCTTTCGGCAAGTCCTTCAAACCATTGGAACTACATCGCTTCCCATCAAACAAAAAGCAAACATGTTAACTGTGTGTTAGACTTTATGTCTCCGTCTTCATGCTCCTCTTTGCTCAACCTTCCGCCGCGAGCTACCTGAAAAAGGAGAAAGATGAGGTCAAACACTGGACATGAAACAGCTGCATACAGTACTGTTGCTGACGTATGTCCCACGTATCTCTCGTGTCCCGTTTCAAGAAAACGTGAAGACGCAGGGCCTGTCGGAAGGCATTTCGGATGATCTTCTCCAAGTCCTCCGACCTGTTTCGGAAGGCGGCCCTACAGCCAGTCCTACGGTGGTATCGCTGGGGGCTCACATAATGCGGGCCATATACCAAGGAGCAAAGGGCATCTCTACTAGGAGCAAAGAAGCTACTAGGGGCTCCTGGCCTTACTACTAGGAGTAAGGATGCTACTAGGGGCTCCTGGCATCGCTACTAGGAGCCAGGACGCTTTTGGGTTGGAGGCTACTGCCTGACATCAGTTCTTATTTTCCAAATATGTCTGACCAAATTCCATTTCTTGTCAAACAATCCTGTTCGCCAAGCTGCGGGGCTTCAACCAACTGCTGTAGTGATGCCAAGAGAGGAAGTTCACTTTTCCTTCCTACAGTGGCTTTGCCTCGGAGGCCAACATCGCTTCGTTGAGACATCGCTTCGTTCCAATCTCAGGACTCCACGTGGTGTGAAGAACAATTCCTTCTTTCTTTGGCCTGGACGGACGGAGGAACGGAAAACAAGACTTTGTGTCCCATTTTTGTTTGTTCTGAAGTCTTCATTTCGTCTTGCTTTGGGCATCTTTCAACCTTTCTTTCAAGAAGGTCAAAGCAACACCTGAAACCGAGCTGAACGAAAGCGCGGGGTTTTCGTGAGTGCCGCCTTTGTCAGCCAAAGCGAAGCGGCGATGCTCGCCCTGTGACACTTCGTTGCACGACGTTGCTCGCTTCAAACAAGGACGCTACTAGGGGCTAGGGACGGTAAAGAAGACACCGCACACACAACTCAAAACTCCCAAGCACGGCCTCCTGCCGCAGGACCTGTGGAGGCAGAGAGGCGAACGAGGTCTCTGGGTCTGTTGATGCGAACGTCTCCAGAAATAGCGATGGCCCTTTGCTCCTAATAGCGTCCGATCGCTCCGTTCGTAGCGATGCCAGGAGCCCCTAATGAGCAGATATGAAAAACAATCCCAGTAGAAGAAGCGAACACATGGGAAACAAATGTTGTGCCGGATCTGTGCAGTGCAGTGCTCATCGACGGGGATTTGTCCGACTCGTTGCCTGGGACATGAGCTTCATGGCCGACCGTCGCCGCCGTCGCCCCTGCCAATTGGGTAAACTGGGCAGTCAAAGCTCCTAGTAGCGTGGCACTTGTTACTACTAGTAGCTTCTTGTTACTACTAGTAGCTTCTTGTTACTACTAGTAGGGCACTTGTTACTACTAGTAAGGCACTTGTTCCTAGTAGCGTCCTTGCTCCTAGTAGTGAAACCACCGTACCCCAAAGCTTTTACAATGTGCGAACAGGCCTGGGAATGCCAGAAAGCGTTCAGAACCTGCACCATGTTCCGCAGAATTGCTTTCCACCATCGTGGCAAAAACATCACTGTCACCAAAAAAAAACATGAAACATATCTTAGTCTTAGAGTCCTTAGAGCCAGAAAACTCCAAAAACTCTCTTCTCACCTTGAGGATTCGCCTGCTCTCTCGTGGACAACGACCTGATTCGCATGTTTGAGACGTCTGGACGACCGTGTTTGAGCTGACAGTGGCCAATGGCCTCTTAGCGCTGCACCCTTGCCCCGCGCTGCAGTCAACGTAGCATCCAGCACCTCCCGTGGACGGATGAGACATCTATCTTTTCCTCATGATGCAGTTGGTGTTACTAATATTATATAATATTATAGTCGTTTTAGATAATTTGGTACTCAAAAAGGGAACAGTGACTCACTGGTTCTCGTTTTATTCGGAACGTAAGAAGAACGTGTCCGAAGAACCGTGTAGCTTTCGTCACGTTCCGCACGTGTGGCATTCGTCCACCTGAATGCTGGAACAGGAGCGCAAAGCCGCCCGAAGCTCCTCAAAATCGATCACAGCCATGACCCATAACCTAGCGATGGCCTCCAAGCTAAGAGCGATGGCCTCCAACCAAATAGAAAAAAACAATCGGTTGACCTTACGTTTGAAATCCCAGTGATCAGGTGTAACCATCTCTACACTCTTAGGCATCGCTACTAGGAGCAAGGACGCTACGAACGGGGCTCCTGGCATCGCTACGAACGGAGCATTCTTGCGAACAAAGGGCATCATTGTGTTCCCCTATTTCTTCACTCCCAACAATAAGCTACTGGGAACAAGTGCATCGCTTCTAGTAACAAGTGCCTTACTAGTAGTAACAAGAAGCATAAAGGAACTGCATCTTCCGGTCGAAGTGCAGACCTCGTCCCACTCATGCCTTCGGATGCTTCACGGACACCGACACAGCTCCGTTCGTAGCGTCCGATCGCTCCGATGCCATGCGATGCCCTTTGTTCCTAGCGTCTGATCGCTCCTAGTAGTACGGCCAGGAGCCCCGTTCGTAGCGTTCTTGTTACTACTAGCGTGGCACTTGTTACTACTAGCTTATTGTTACTACTAGTAAGGCACTTGTTACTAGAAGCGATGCACTTGTTACTAGTAGCGTCCTTGCTCCTAGGCCTTGTCCTTGTGCACTTTTCATGTTTGAGGCAGAACAGTTGACGACAAATCGTTTGCGAGACGGAGACTGTGGGGAATGGGGGTTGAGCGCTGTGAGGGCAAGTTCCGGCGTTGTAGAGGAAATTTTTCGCTGCTTTACACCCTCTGCTGCTCTCAAGTGCCCTGTCAGCTTCCTGGTTCTCAACTTGACGTGAGCTTAAGCATCTACGCTTGGAGAAAACGGTTTTAATCGCTCTGTGAGTGGGGAAAGCATTTAGGGACTCCTGCAAAAGTTGAGTTGTCAGTTTGAAACTGTGACAGTGGATGAATCGGAGATTCCTTTGCGCTATTCATCAGGGCAGCGCTAGGGCTGGACTTTGATTTTGGACGGACTGTTCTGTTGGGACCTGCTCCAACTAACGCCAACTATACGCTATACTGTCATCCGGCGGTATAGCACGTAAGGGTGTGCCAAGCGAAGCGGCTGAACCCAGTGGGAGACAAAGCGAACCAGCCACCGAAGTGCGCCAGCCACCGTAAACCAAAATAGATTAATCAACCTCGATTTTTGCCTCCTCAGCTTGCTTTTTGCTATCTTCGTCTCAGCTTGTCTCGTCGTCTCGTCTCCTTCCGAAGGGCTTTTTGCAGGGTGATGTCTGGCTCCACTTCGATCTCCTGAAGAGCCGTGTTTTCACGAACATCCCAAGCGCAGCGCAGAACGCCCTGACGCGCAGCTCCGCGCGGAGCGGTCGCCCTGGGTCGCCTGATGCTGAAAAGTCACTGAAGCTTCTCCTGGAGAAGCTGTTCTTTTCTCCACATCTCCCTCTCCAAATCGTTCTTGATTCTTTACTTTCTAACTGAAAACATATGTTTCATGTTGTTTCTGATTTCCTCTTCCACATCTCTCGTTTTCCGACATCCTAGGCCTTGGTCACGTCCTTGGCATCGACCATCGCCGTCGCCCTCGAGCGCCTTCGAAGTGCGTGGTCGAGTCGAAGCCGAGTCGGTCGCGATGGTAGATCGGTCTCTCTCGCGGCCGGGAAAACGATGGGAAAACGTAGAAAAACGGATCGATTAAAAAAAGGATGAGATTCAAATACTGATTGATTAGATTGGAAGGTCAATGCAAAATGCAAGAAATGGGCTCAGACTCGACCAACGTGTGGAGTTTAGCTCGATAAAATGCAAGAGTAGCTGTGTGGAGTTCCCAAATCTTTGCAGCAAGGAGTCGGCAGATCTTGGATGGATGACTTGGGGGTAGTACTCCTGGGCCTTCCTGCTTGATATGCGCATCGGTAATTTTACTGGTTGGCCTCGTGTTCGTCTTCACCCTGTGACCTCGCTCTATGACACGAAGATGCGTGGTTCTCAGAACACGAAGATTAGGGCCGAAAAATGCAGGGGCTCCTGGCCTTACTACTAGGAGCAAGGATGCTACTAGGGGCTCCTGGCATCGCTACTAGGGGCTCCAAATGGCACCTCGGGTTGCGAAGGATGCTGGCTCCAAAGGAGTAAGTGGGGTTGCGGGCCATTTAGGTTGGCGGCCATCGCTCTTAGGTTGGAGATATATACCTAAGACTAGTCGTGCAGACTTGCGTAGGGCTGGCGCATTGCTACAAGTACACAGCTTCTCCAGCTTGACATACGATGGCGTAGGTGTAAATTCACCTACCTCCTGTGATGCAAGACTGTCGACCTCTGTGGGATCTAAAGGCTCTCTGTTCGTCACACGACTATAAGTTCAGATCCAACTCATATAGCTTCTTGTTCCTAGTAGTAAGGCCAGGAGCCCCTAGTAGCTTCCTTGCTCCTAGTAGCGATGCCCTTGGTTACTAGTGGCGTCCTCTTGGTCCTAGTACAAGGCACTTTGCAAACGACATTCTCAACTTGTTCGGTGCGACCCATGTGTTTCACGATTTAACGGCAAGCTAGACATGTTTGTCTCAACCTTTTGAACACGCAAACATGGTCTCAACAGGTTGGAGGCCATCGCTATTATTTTTGGCTTGTTCTTCGCTTTTTCTTCGTTTGCCCGCTCCGGCCCTGTCTCACCTTGCCATTCGTCTTCTCAGTCTGCCTCACAGTCTTCCGCAAAGAAAAGAAAGCAACAGCGAGTAGCGAAGTGATTTCGGCCTGTAGCTCCTGGTTGATATGCCTCTTTGTATCTTGGAAACAAGATCCAGGACTTGCAGGGAAATCTTTGCTTGGACGCTATTAGGAGCAAGGACGCTACTAGGGGCTCCTGGCATCGCTACTAGGAGCAAGGAGGCTATTAGGTTGGAGGCCATCGCTCTTAGGTCAATGGCGCCGGGCAGAAAGCGACTCTTGGGCATCCACCAACTCCGAGATGGCGGAGGAATCTGCAGCGTTCCCGCGGCTTTGACACCCGAGTTAAAGAGTGCAATTCTTCCGGTGAACAAATCAACTAGTAGCTTCCTTGCTCTGAGTGACCTAGTAGTAAGGTGAGGAGCTACTAGTAGCGATGCCCTTGTTCCTGCCTTTGGTGGGTCGCCCAAAAGTTCTCTCAAATGAGCGGTAACACTTCGATCGTGCCTCACGGCGGGTGGCAGTGAGTGGGCGTCACTCGGAATGGCAAAAATATGAGAAACACTCTGAACAAAATGGTCCAAACCGAACCAAAACACCAGCGGTGGGTCCCCGTGGGTCTGCAACACTTCTATCACTTCTATCTCGGAATGGCAACTGTATCAGCTGTTCGAACCTGGTCATGCCGGCTATGCATCGGACATCGGAATGCGGTCGCAAAGTGATCTGTGTTTTTGGTGCTTTCCTTTCTGCAAACTTCGGAGCAAAGGGCATCGCTACTAGGAACAAGAAGCTACTAGGGGCTCCTGGCATCGCTACTAGGAACAAAGAACGTATTATATAGACCCGTCTTCCTTTTCTCTTCTCTTTGTCTCTCTATTAGCGATGGCCTCCAACCTACTAGCGATGGCCGATGACCTGTAAGGTTTTGGCATGGCTCAAACTTCACAATGATCCGAGCGCCTTGAAAGTGGCTCAAGCTGAGCAGGAGGGGCTCGCCGGGGCCACTTGCGCTCAAACATCCGCCATGGCAAGTGTTCGCCAATAATGTGCAGTTCCACTCCAAGACCAGAAACACATACCAGATATACCAGGGAGTTTGTGTCGGGCTGGTCACCGTCACTAGAGCTTCAAGCGTGGCCTGTGTGTCTGGGCCGCCCTCCCGACAACCGTGACGGGTTTCATGGGTTTGACATTTCTTAGCATCACGGTTTCAACTGACATCGGTCGAACCACTCCAAACCAACAATGTGTCTTAGTTGTGTCTACCAAATCCGAAACATGCTGCAGTTGCATCACGTGAAACTCTCAAGGCTTCACGCTCAACTCGCGAGCGCCGGCCGAGGCTCTTTTCGGCGCGCACGTCGCCGGTCGCACCGCTGCGAGTGCCCGGTCGTGCTCGTCGGTAGCGAGTCGGTTGCCGTCAGCTGCGCGTCAGGAGCTGCGCGTCAACTACTTGTCGATTCGTTTTCACCTGGTGAAAACAATTCGTCTTCGTCCAGAAACATGCATTCCCTAGCTCGGAACGATCCCTGAAGCGAGCAAAAGCTATAAGCCCTTTTTCGTTCTGTTTTCTGTGCTTCTCACCAGGTCCAAGTTGTAGCGTTTTCTGGGTGTAACAACCCCAGCACAGCCCAGCAACACCGGACTTCGATAGCCCTGCGCAAACGAAGTGACCAGCATTTATGAAACACATTCCTAAAGGAAATGGCCTCCAACCTACTAGCGATGGCCTCCAACATCTATGATAAACATGTCATTTCTTTACAAAAAAAGAAGGGCGTTATTTCAGGGCAAGGGGTACTGGCAGCGGAATCCACTAGTTCGCCTCCATATCATATATATGTTCTTGTCGATTTGCGGGGAAGTTGACCCCACACATGCGGGGGTCGGAGGCCATCGCACTTAGGTTAAGTGGCTGACTCAACACTCTCTGCGTCTGAACGCGCCTGTTTCTTCTCCATCAACCTCAAGGAGGTGCTGGACGGTGCACCTGGTAAGCTTAGCGCTTGACACAAACGGGCAATGCAATGCAAAGCCGGAAACCGTCGCAGAGTGCTTGACAGAATGCTAAGGCAGACTTTGATTTGGATGTGTTCCTAGAACAAGCTAGGGAAACGAAGGAAAAGGACACCAAATGGAATGCGCGAAGAATAATATGGTTACCCTTGCCAAGAACTCAACCCACAAAACTCCATACATTCGGTAAGACTTGTCAGGGCCTTAGCATCGCATTTTTGGCTTCGGAGAAAGCTTGCGTTGGAACGACTGCGAACTCATGATTTTGATTGAGGGGAAGAGTGGAACAAGAACGACTAGCATCATGGTGCATCATTCGCATCTGGTGCAAAGCATCGAGTTTTTTGCTGAGCTTCCTCTTGCTAGCTATTCTGAAAAATATGAACCTCCTCCTCTTCAGGCCAAAAAACCACGAGGTCTTTTTGTGTGTTTTGTTTGTTTGTTTAATGAAACTCCATTTTATCCGAGATCTTCTTCACAGCAAAAGTGGCGTAACGCCAGTGGCGTGCCGACGTCGCTAGATTGGGCGCTAGTGTGGGCGTGTGAAGGGCACGGCGCACGGAAGCGCATGGCGTGTGGGGCAAGTGCGGAGTAACAAGTGTCTTACTAGCAGTAACAAATAGCTACTAGTAGCTTCTTGTTACTACTAGTAAGGCACCTGTTCCTAGCAGCGTGGCACTTGTTTCTACTAGCTTATTGTTCCTAGTAGCTTCTTGTTACTACTAGTAAGGCACTTGTTACTAGAAGCGATGCACTTGTTCCTAGTAGCGGAAGCGCAAAGAACGCTTTCGGGAAAGACCACACAGCAAAAAGCTATAGGTTGGAGGCCATCGTAGCAAAGAGCAAAGATTCAGTTTGGGAAGAGCGGAGAGCCGACATTCCAAACGCTTTGCATTCGAGAAGCACCATTTCCGGCAAAGAAAGATGTATTTTATGGAAAAACGTCTCGAACCATCGCGTAAATAATAGTTCAACCCGACCCCCTCCTCAGCAAAAAGTTGAGGGGGTGTGAACAGTGCCAGTCCCACCAAAAGACTGTTGTATCTTGTAAATCATGGTTGCTGTCTTCAAAAGAGAAAGCAAGGAACGGAAAGGTAGAGACGCCCACAAAGGGACAAGTAGGAGCAACTCTCGAAGAGACGTCGAGGGTTTAGCAAGCAAAGTAAAGAAGTAGAGAAAAGTAGACGTTTGATTCTTGACCAATCAAGATTCTTGAGAAAAGCAAATGGACACCAAATCTTCACGGAAAAAAAAACATCCACACCACACTTGACCACCTCACAAATCACTGCACTACACTCTATGCTTCATCGCACATCACGATATCTCAAATGACCACTCGTATACATTCCACTAGGAGTCGCAAGGACGCTACTAGGGGCTCCTGGCATCGCTACTAGGAACAAGCAAACTAAAGCACCGCATCACAAAGTACGACTTCAGAGATCCATTCTAAAACGGCGGTCCATCCACGTTGGCGCGGCAGTCCAGTTGGCTATTGGTATCAGGTTTGGAAGCCAGTTTCTGGCCGGGTCCCGCCTGCACTGCGGATTCGAGGCTCAAAGCTGGATCCATCGGAAGCGGTTTGAGCACTGCCTTGTGCGAAGAGAGAGATAAAAACAATGAATATGCATAGAATAGAATATATTATACACGTGTGTGTGTGTGTGTCTGTATCGACTGTGTGTAAAGCCTCCGTGGCATCGCAATCAAAGGGCATGTCTTTTCGAAATCAACTTGCAAGTGATCAAATGTGATCAAGACAAGCGTTAAGTTTCTCATAAAGATCTACCTATACTTACTCCTAGTAACTAAGGGCATCGCTACTAGGAGCAAGAAGCTACTAGTAGCTCCTGGCATTAGTATCTACCTATAAGCGTATTACTCCTTACATCTCCTGAGTGGTACAGTGGTTATCTCCCCACCCCTTCCACTTTCGCTCCTGTCTCCAAATCTCGATGCACCAAAGCACGAGAAGGTGGAAATAGAAAAGCCACCTGATTCCACAAACGATGCTGTATGGAAACGGAATGAACAGAGGGAACCGGAATGCGGTTCCAATGCACAAGAACACAACAAAATCTTTGGAAAAAATATCTTCGTGAGCTGACAGCTGAGCTCAGGAGCATTAAACAAGGTTTTTCCAGCAACCGGCGAGTGAACCAGCGGAGCTGCTGCTCCAAGGCCGTCATGCACCTGGTGAACGCTGCTGTTCCAACTGCGAACAGTCCGCGAACGTGATCGGTAAGTGTTTGGTGTTCGAGCAGCGCCATGGTGCTGTTGAGCTCATTGTGGCAGTATGTCGAAGTGTTAGTTGGTTGCTCGTTTCTAGTTGCTCTAAGCCCCAAACTCATTTAATGTGTTTTTCTCCAAGAAAGGAAGGAGGGAAGAATGATCCAAATGTCAAAAAAGCTTCACATGATCCGAGACATAATTCAGCAAGAATGTGTCTTGCTCATGCAGCTCAGAAACCTAATTTTGTAAACTGCTCACCATCTATTTGAGATCCAGATCTATCATCACATGGTGGGTTAAGAGTTGACCACTCAATGAGTATATAGGGTTGAGGTCCAGTCTGGGTCTAGTGACTAGTGCTGAGGTCCACAAAGCAAAGACGAGGCAAGCAGCGGCGAGGAGAATCTTTGGTTTTGTTGGATCCGCACCTTTGCTTCCGGCAAAGAAGCCACAAGCGCCACAGACGCCTACGATTGGAATTCGACAGAGTCGTCTCAAAGCATAAAAGGGTCTAGTTCAACAAAGCGGTGCAAAGCCGGAAAGAATAGAATAAACAACGTCAGCGTTAAACAAAGTTTCGAGAATAAACCTAATAGCGATGGTCTCCACCAAAGGAGAAAGGAATGGAAAGAAGGAGCGAAGTCAAAACGGCTGTTCCGCTGAGCGCCGTTCCTGACGCAGAGGCGGCAGCCCCCTTCCAAGGCGCCCCAAGATGAGACCTCGCTCGTAACATGTGCCTTCAATTCTATTTCTTGTTTCTAATAGCACACATTGTCTCTACTAGTAAGGCCAGGAGCGCCCCTAGTAGCGTCCTTGCTCTTAGTAGCGATGCCCTTTGTTTCTACTAGCGTCCTTGCTACTAGCTAGGGGCGGTAGGCCACCAAGAGGTGAACTTAGCGGCAGTAGGAGCTTACGAAGCTTCCTAAGGAAGACCAACCGGCGATGGGGGGAGTCCTTGAAGAAGCCTAAGACTTAAGAAGCCATTGGGAGAGTCCTTGAAGAAGCCATTAGCCTTATCTAGTAAACAGTAATTAGTATGCTGGGGGTGTGACGGCCACGAGAAGAGAGGTAGCAATTAAATGAATCCGGAGGATTCTGCCTTTTTAAATCAAATATTCAGGTAGTTTTAAATGTAGCTTCTTGTTACTAGTAGCGTCCTCTTGCTCCTAGTAGTACGGCCAGGAGCCCCTAGTAGCGATGCCAGGAGCTACTAGTAGCGTCCGATTGCTCCTAGTAGCGACGTTTAGAGTATTTATGTGGATCAACCGCGGTCAAAATTGGTTTCACGTGGCCAATCTAGGAATACGGCTACGGGACGATGGATTCGGAAACTTGCTTAGTTTGTAGGTAGATTCAAGAACTTGTCTGGTTTCAGTTGCCTGAGCTTCCTCATCCTCTATCTCCTGCCGCTGGCAAACGTTGCTTTCGCTTCCATGAAGTCCCTCCGTCTCTGTCCTCTTGCGCTTCAAGTCCAGCATCTGGAGGTGCGAACTGGTACCTCACACACGATTCGTGCTGTCTTTTTGCCTCTCCGTTTGCGCCACAAAGTCTGCGCACACGATCGGGCGCTGGCTCAAAGATCGCTTGAGTACTGCATTCTGCGCCTTGGTGAAGCAGGACTATTCGTGTGGTTTCCAGTCCAGACAGCCAAACGAGACGGCGCTTTGCACACGAGAAGCTTCAAGCTCTCCCACTTTTGCCTGCAACTTCTGGATCCTGCGCATTGAAGCTAGTAGTAACAAGTGCATCGCTATTAGAAACAAGCAAGTGCCTTACTAGTAACAAGGACGCTAGTAATTACAATTTGCAAAGCGGAACCCGCCGTGCAGGACG